AGATTTAGGGTTAAGAACTTTCATTCCAAATAAGTACAAAGTATAATGTATAATCAAAAACTTTTTAATAAGTGAGATTTTACGGTAAAAACAAAAGTGAGACTTCTAAATCAAGACCTTAATTGACAAGAAAAAAAAGTGAGACTCGTAGTCAAGACCTTTTTAAAAAAAAAAAGAAAAAAAAAGTGAGACGGACTCCTGTCGAGACCTTTCTAAAAAAAGGAGTGAGAGCTCGTGTGCCGGCAGTTTCTAAAAATAGACACGTGCAAACTTCTGTCTGTCTCTGTGTGTGTGAGTGGGAGGAGAAGCTGATTTCTGTGGCGAGTCCTTGAAACCTGGCAGTACTAGTTCACGGGACTCAAAGCAAGTTTGTTTAAACCTCCATTAGGAGTCTTTGTTTTTTAAAACACAATGCTTAAAACCATACCTATAAATCATGGGTAATGAAATTTATGGCCAAAAATACCCAGACTTGACAAAATTAGCAGAAAATAGAGCTAAAAGCATATAAAAAAAAACTAAAACAAACAAATGAAAACTGCAGCGTTGCTTGTCAGATCAAAAGATAATACATAATGTACTTGGCACCCACTAAAAAAACATTGGAATAGCGCTAAAATACTTTTGTCTTCTTCGTCTGTAGAATAAGAGTTGCAGATCATGATTTAACCTTGACTGATAACTGATTCGTTGCGTACTTGTGTTTCTGATTTTATAACGTTTTCTTTTAACTTTATTTTTGTTGTTAACACATGTGTTGTGGCCAGAGTTACAAAGTTTCGTTGACTTTCTTTTAGGTTTGTTAAATAAGATCAAAGACCAGCTGTAAAAGAAACACACACATTCGCACACGCCGCGCTGCACTAAAACATACTAAAATGTGCCAAATAGTAACAGTTTAATAACCCTAAGCAGTATTTATGTTTGTGGGATATATCTAAACCATCTACATGAAGCTCGCTGAAAATTATGTAAACCAAATTTATAGTATTAATAAACATTGCATGCTATTAAAGTTGAAAAATGAAAGCAACAGATTTATTTTATTTTTTATTTAGCACCACAAATTGTGTGTCAATAAAACACTGATAATTAAATTAAAACAAACTTTTGAAACAAAGATAACTGGAACCGGAATCGGCCCTTCTTTCGTCCTGGAATCTGGTCCCACACTGTCCATCTGACTCTCTGACTCGGCCAGAACCGATCCGCCGAGGAAGAGGTCAGCCCCTCCTCGTGGTAAAAAAAAA